CAAAGGTAGTATGAAAATGCACTTAAATGCACTTCATTTGGATGAAAAGGATGTTACATGGTATAATTGTAAAGAATGTTCATACAAAGCTAAACACCGCAGGACTTTGCAAAGTCACGTGAAGTATCACCACATGGATATAAAATGGTATGAATGTGAAAAGTGCCCATATAAGTCTAAACAAATTACCAAGGTAAAAAAACACTTCAAGTTGCGGCATTTAGACGCAAAGGATATTAAGTGGTATGAATGCGAAAAGTGTTCATACAAAGGCAAAGAAGAAGCGTATTTAAGAAAACATATTAGTCTTCACCATGCAGACAAACAGGATTGAATTCGCACCAGTGGATAAAAATTAAATGTCAAGTGTCTATCAATAAATTATTAATAATAAAATGACGATTTTTGGTGGAATTTTTAAATTATTTCCATGTTGCAGTGTTACATTTTTTGATTGTACAATTTCTTGGTTTTTAATTTTTTGATTTTTCAGTTTTCATTTTACTAATTTTCGATTTCTCGATTTTCAGTTTTCAGTTTTTTTATTTTTTCGATCTCTCAACTTTCAAATTGAAATTTTTCAGGTTCTTACATGTTTCGTTTTTCAGTTTTTCGATTTTTCAATTTTTGGTTATTCGATTAATGATATTTCGATTTTACAATTTTGTGTTTTTAATTTTCCAGTTTATGGGTGTTTCGATATTACAATTTATTGGGTTTACGATTTCTCGTATTCTCGATTTGCCGATTATTCAAAATTTGATTTATCAGTTGTACGGTTTTCTAATTTCATATTTTCTGGATTTTCTGAAGATTCTGGATTTTCCAGATTTTCTGCATTTTTTGGACATTCTGGATTATTTGGATTTTCTAGATTTGATTAATTTTCTGTATTTGGATTTTCTGGACTTTGTGAATTTTCCAGATTTTGCGGATTTTCCAGATTTTCCAAACTTTCTGGACTTTCTGGATTATTTACATTTTTTTGAGTTTCTGGATTTTCCAGGATTTCTGTTTTTTTTAGATCTTTCAGATTTTCTGGATTATTTGGATTTTTCGGATTTTTTGCACTATCCAGATATTTAGATATATGTAAATTTTGTGAACTTTCCAAATTTTGCGAATTTTACACATATTTTATGATCTGAATGTTCCGAATTTTTAAGATGTACCAGATTTTCTGCATCTTCCGATTTTTTGATTTTCTGGATATTCCAGATTTTCTGAATTTTCCAGATTTTCTGGATTTTCCAGATTTTCTGGACTATCCAGACTTTCTGGATTTCCGAATTTTTTAGATTTTCCAAACTTTCTGGACTTTCTGGATTATTTGCATTTTTTATTGTCTGAGCTTTCTGGATTGTTTGGATTTTCTAGATTTTCTTGATTATTAGGATTCTTCAGATTTTTTGCACTATCCAGATAGTCTGGACTTTGTGAACTTTCCAATTTTTATGGATTTTACACATATTTCAGATTTTCTAGATTTTTCTGATTGTCTGGATTTTTTGGATTTTCCAGATTTTCCAAACTTTCTGGACTTTCTGGATTATTTACATTTTTTTGATTTTCCGAATTTTTCTGGATTTTTTGGAATTTTCAGATTTTCTGGATTATTTGGATTTTTCGGATTTTCTGCACTATCCAGATATTCTGGATTTTGTGAACTTTCCAAATTTTACACATATTTTATGATCTGAATTTTTTGGATTTTTTTAGATTTTTCTTTTTTTCTAGAATTTTCCGAATTTTCTGGATGTTCCGATTTTTTGATTTTCTAGATTGTCTGGATTATTTGGATTTCAGGACTAATTAGGTTTTTTCTGAATTTTGAGAATTTTCCAGATTTTGTGAATTTTACACATTTTCCAGATTTTTCTGATCATTTGGAAGATTTGGAAAACCTGGAAAATTCAAATAATCCAGAAAATCAAAGAAAATCTGAAAAATCCAGGAAATTAAGACAATCTAAAAAAATCCGGAAAATTTGGAAAATCTGAGAAATCCAGAAAATCTGTAAAATGTGGAAAATCTAAAACATCCATAAAAACTGGAAAATCTAAAAAAATACAGAAAATCTGGAAAATCCAGAAATCAAAAAATCCAGATAATCAAGAAAGTCCAGAAAATCTGGAAAAGTCAGAACGTCAAGAAATTCTGGAAAATCCAGATAATTTGTATTTTTTGTTTTATTTTTTTGAATTTTCTGAATTTTAACCTAAAAAAAATCCAAATAACCAAGAAAGCTCAGAAAAACTGGAAAATCCAGAAAATAAAAATCTGGCAAAACTGAAAATTTTTGGGTTTTTTTGATTTGCCAAAATTTCTGGATCCTCCGATTTTTTGATTTTCTATATATTCCAGATTTTCTGGATATTCGAATTTCCAGATTTTGCGAATTTTCGAGATTTTCCAAACTTTCTGGACTCTCTCGATTTTTTGCATTTTTTATTTTCAGAGCTTTCTGGATTTTCCAAAATTTCTGGATTGTTTGGATTTTCCAGATTTCCTGGATTATTAGGATTTTTCGGATTTTCTGCACTGTCTAGATTCTGGATTTTGTGAACTTTCCAAATTTTATGGATTTTCCACACATTTCACATTTTCTACATTTTTCTGATCTGGATTTTTTGGATTTTCCAGATTTTCCAAACTTTCTGGACTTTCTGGATTATTTACATTTTTTTGATTTTCTGAATTTTTCTGGATTTTCCAGAATTTCTCGATTTTGTGAACTTTCCAAATTTTGCGAATTTTACACATATTTTATGATCTGGATTTTCCGAATTTTAAGATTTACCAGATTTTCTGCATCTTCCCATTTTTTTGATTTTCTGGATTTTCCAGATTTTCTGGATTTTCGAATTTTCCAGATTTTGCGGATTTTCGAGATTTTCCAAGCTTTCTGGACTTTCTGGATTATTTGCATTTTTTATTTTTAAGCTTTCTGGATTTTCCAAAATTTCTGGATTGTTTGGATTTTCCAGATTTTCCATTTTTTTATTTTTTATTTTTTTCTGGATTTTTTGAATTTTTTGGGTTTTCCACATTTTCCGGCTTTTCTAGATTTATCGAATTTTCCAGATTATCAGAATTTTCCAGATTTTCCCATTTTTTTTTCTGCATTTTCCGAATTTTCCAGATTTTGCAGGTTTTCTGAATCTGAATTATTAAGATTTTCCATATTTTCTGTATTGTTCCGGATTTTCGTGATTTTCCAGATTTTTGTCTGGGTTATTTGGATTTTCAGGACCAATCAGATTTTCTGAATTTTGAGAATTTTCCAAATTTTGTGGATTTAACACATTATCCAGATTTTTTGGATTTTCCAGATTTTCCAATTTTTTTGGATTTTTTTAAATTTTTTTCCGTATAATATCTGAGAAACCCAGAAAATTAAGATCTGGAAAATATAATGACTGAAAATCCAAAAATTAGAAAATCGGGAAACTCCAAAAAATTTGGAAAATCTGGGAAATCCAGAAAATCTGTAAAATGTGGAAAATCTAAAACATCCATAAAAACTGGAAAATCTAAAAAAAATCTAGAAAATCTGGAAAATCCAGAAATCCAAATAATCGAGATAAACAAGAAAATCCAGAATATCAAGGAATTCTGGAAAATCCAGATATGAATTTTTTTTTGGATTTTCTGAATTTTCCAGATTTCCCGAATTTTTTTGGATTTTTTGGATTTCCAGAAGATCTGTAACATAAAAAAATCCAAATAAGCTCAGAAAAACTGGAAAATCCAGAAAAAAATCTGGCAAATATTAAAACTGAAAATTTCTGTTTTTTTTTATTTTTCAGATTTCTGGAATGTTCGGATTTTCAGCACTATCCAGATGTTTTGGATTTTGTGAACTTTCCAAATTTTGTGGATTTTACATATATTCCAAATTTTTCTGATCTGGATTTTTTGGATATTTGTTTTTTTTCTGGATTTTCCAGAATTTCTGGATTGTGCGGATTTTTTAGATTTTCCAAACTTTCTGGATTTTCCAGATTTTCTGCACTATCCAGATATTCTGGATTTTGTGAACTCTCCAAATTTTGTGTATTTCCAGAAGATCTGTAACATCCAAAAAAATCCAAATAATCGAAAATCGAAAAATTGGAAAATTCGGAAAATCCAGTAAATTTGGAAAATCCAGATAATCCAAAAAATCTGGAGAATTAGGAAAATTAAAAAAACCTAAATAATCTACAAAATTAACAAAATCTGGAAAATCCAGAAATCCAAATAGTCCAGAAAATCCAATTGTCGGGATTTTCTAGATTTTATGGACTTTTTGGATTATTTGAATTTTTTGGATTTTCCAAATTTTCTGGATTTTCCAGATTTTCGAGGTTTTCCAGATTTTTCCAAATTTCTAGATTTTCCAGATTTTCTAATTTTTCAATATTTTTATTCTTCAATTTTTCGATTTTACAGTTTTTCCATTTTTTAACTTCTTAAAATTTAAATTTTTCGATTTTTCAATACTGATTTTGTAACTTTTTCAATTTTATGGTTTATGCAGTTTTATTTTTCAAATATGTTCATAATTAAATGGTACCTACTGTTTTACTCATAGAGGTTTCACTTTCAAATAATAAATAACTTTAAATTTCGTCTATAGGCAACCAATAATTCTAATTGTATTGTTATTTTTTCTTTATATTATTTGTTTGTGGTTTGACTGTAAAAATAAATTTTAATTCTACTATACGCAATCACCATAAGATTTTTTAAATGTTGCCAACCTGACAAAAAAAGTCAGACATCCATTTTCAATTGTCCACTGTTTCAATTTTTCGACTTATATTTTAACATCATTAATAAATAATGTTATAATTAAGCCGAAACGCGAAGTTATTAAAAACAAATCAATTTGTGCAAACATCGTTAAAACAGGCCCCAAACCTCAATGTTAGGGTGTAATTTTTGTGAGCATATTTGAATTGAAAACTTTCTCTCATTGCGAGCGTGTGGTTAGAGAACAAATAAAAAAACACACATCAACTTTCAAAAATGTATATTTTTAAAGCATATGTTGGGACTTGGTGCCTATCTGAACATCACCTTTAACAGTACCCATTAAAAACGTCACTGAGCTTGTACATTTTTATTCAACAAAAAGAAAAAAGTTACAAAATAAACAAGATCGATACTTTTGTAAAATCGACAGTGCATTAAATAACCCACTTAAGTTTCTCTTAGCTAAAATTCTCAGAATTTGAATATAATAATAAAACCTAAAAGATATATTATAACTTAGATTTATTGCAAGACTAGACCCATTTTGTGTGGAGACATACTCGGACACTTCCAATTGTACAAATAATATTGCAAATTGCCGTCACCGATACCGAACTTTAACGTTTCTAGAAATTCGCGATTGTCCATCAGATCTAGCGCGTTGAACACATCGAAGTTCAGCTGCTTGGCCGAAATGAGCGCGTCGTTCATCAGGTCGATCCACGGGGTGTCGGTCGACACGTTGTAGAACGAGTAAGCGGCTTTCAGAGTCTTGTGGACCGGGTGGTGCATCACGGTCGACGGAAGGGTGTAGTAACTCACAAAGTCGATTATTTTGCCCTCTCTCTCCACGACGAAACTGTCAACGATGTCGGGACGGGGGAGGAACCAGTGGACGAAGTCTTCTTCGGTGAAGACCGGGGACAAGTCGAACTTTCTCAAATACTACAAAAAAAAAAACAAGAATTATTATTCGCGTACATCTGGGTTTGATAATTTCTAAATATGACGTCATTAATTCTTTGGAGGGGATGGCGGCAAATTTGAATCAACGGTTTAGTGTCAAGACGACACGCTTAAAATATATTTAAAATTCCAACATATTCGGTTCTACAGTTTCAGAGATTAATCACAACAAAGCACATCGATGTCATTCTTCGTTTTTTTTTTAAGAATATTTGAGTTTTTGATTTTTCAATTTTCATTTCATTTATAATGGTGTAATTGTGATTTTTCGAATTTTAATGTTTCGAAAAACACAACAATTCATTCAAACTGAAACTGAAAAATCGGAAGCTCAAAAAATTGAAAAAACGAGACATAAAGACCCAAAAAGATCAAAAAGTGAAAAATCTAAAACGGAAAAAACAAGCAATGAAAAATCGAAAAGTTCAAAACGGAAAAATCGCAAAATTCAGAAATAAAAAAATGTAAAAAAGAGGAAATCGAAAAATCCGTTAATTGAATAGCAAATTGAAAAATAAAAATTTGAAACAATCGATGAATTGAAAAACAACACTGAAAAATTGATCATCAAAAATAAAAAAAATGTGAAATCGTAAAACTGAAAAAACGCGAAAATAAAATATCGGATATTCGAAAACCCGAAAAATTGAAAAACCGAAAACCAAGAATAACTTGAAATTAAAAAAAAAATCAAAGAAGTTGAGAAATTGAAAGATAAGTTAACTGCGATACTGAAAAATCAAAAATTGGAAAAAATTTTAAAACTGAAAAATCGGGATACTGAAAAATCAAAAATTTAATAAACAAAAAATTATAACATTGAGACATTAAAAAATTACGAAAAATTAAAAAAAAATCAAGAAAATGAAACAATTGAAGACCGAAAAATTAAAACATTGATAAACTCAAACTCAAATAACCAGAAATTCAAAAAAATTAAAAAAAGTCCAAAATCAGGAAAAATTTAAAATTCAAAAATCCGAAAACTGAAAAAAAATTAAATTGAAATTTGATTAATTGAATAATTTGGGAAACAGAAGATTAAAAAAAATGAGAATTCGAAAAATTTGGCAAAACCAGCCATTAAAACCGAAATATTGAAAAATTGAAAAAAATTTAAATTCAAAAACTGAAAAATCGAAAAATTTAAAAACTAAAAAACTGCAAAAACGAGAAATCGAAAAACTGAAAAGATAGAGGAAATGGAACATCAGTTGATTGAGAAATCGAAAAATAAAAAATGAAAAATTAAAAAATTTAAAACGAAAAACCAATTAATTGGGACGGCGAAAAATCAAAACTTGAAGAAATCGAAACACTAAAGCATCTGGAAATTCAAAAAACAAAAAATATCAAAAACGAGAATAAAGTTAACACTGAAATATCAAAAAATTTAAAATTGAAAAATCGAAAAATTGGAAAAAATAAGGAAATTTAAAAATCCGTAAAAATTAGACAACTGAAACACCGAAAAATTAAATATCTAGAAATTAAAAAAGCGTAAACAAATTGAAAATCAGAAAAAAAAATAAAAAATGCAAAATTCGAAAAGTGAAAAAAATTCAGATTGAAACTAGATTAATTGTGTCAAAAATTGAAAAAATCATAAAATTAAAAACGAAACAAAGGAAAAATTTAAAAGCTGAAAAATCCAAAAAATAAGTAAATTGGGGAACAGGAAAATAAAAAAATGAAAATTCAAAAAAGTAACAAAAGGAACCATTAATAAACCGAATAATTGAAAAATCGGAATAATTGAAAACTTGAAATTGAAAAAAACTTATTAAACATCAAAAATCGAAAATTTTGAAAACTGAAAATCGAGAAATTGAGAAATCGAAAAAGTGAATAAACAAAAAATTGTAATATTGAAACAGAAAAAAAAAACAAACATTAAAAAATCGAAAGACAGCACAATTGGAAAAAATTAAAACTGAAAAAATTCGAAAAATTGGGACGCAGAAAAACTAAAAAAAAAATCGAGAAAATGAAACATCGGACAATTAAAAACCGACAAATTAAAAAATGAAAAAGTAAAAAGTCCCAACATCAAATAACGAAAAATTGAAAAATCGAGAAATTGAAAAATCTGACAAAAAAAGCGAAAATGACGACTGAAAATCAGAAAAAATTTAAAATCGAAAAATACGAAAACTGAAAAAATATTGAAACTAGATTAATTGCGTCAAAAATTGAAAAAATCGAAAAATCAATTTTTAATTTTTCGTTTTTAAATTATAAAAAATCGAAAAACTGGCAAAACAAAACATTGAAAAATCGAGAAATAAAACTATCTGGGAATTGAAAAAACGAAAAATATTAAAAACGAGAATGGTAACACTGAACAATAAAAAAATGTAAAATTGAAAAAAATAATAAAATTTTAAAAAAAATTTAATAAACAAAAAATTATAACATTGAAACATTAAAAAAATAAGAAAAACTAAAAAAAATCAAGAAAATGAAACAATTGAAGACCGAAAAACTAAAACATTGATAAACTTAAACTCAAATAACGAGAAATTCAAAAAAATTTAAAAAGTCCAAAATCAGGAAAAATTTAAAATTCAAAAATCCGAAAACTGAAAAAAAAAATGAAATTGAAATTTGATTAATTGAATAATTTGGGAAACAGAAGAATAAAAAAATGAGAATTCGAAAAATTAAAAATCGAAAACTGAAAATTCCAAAAATGAACATAACATGGAAAAATCGGAATTATTAAGAAATTGAAAAATCGGAACAACAAAAATCGAAAATTCTGAAAACTGAAAATCGAGAAATTGAGAAATCGAAAAATTAAAAAACCAACCATTCAAAAAAAGAATTAAAACTGAAAAAATTCGAAAAATTGAGACATGGAAAAACAAATAAAAATCGAGAAATTGAAGCAGGGGACGATTGAAGACCGAACAATTCAAAAATCAAAAAATTGAAAATCCAAACATCAAATAACGAAAAATTTAAAAAATGAAAAATCGAGAAATTGAAATACCAAGCATTAAAAAATGGAAACAGAAAAATTGAAAAGTTAATTATTGTGACATTAAAAAATCAAAAAATTGAAGAAACGAAACCCCGAAAAATCGAAACATCAAAAGTCGAAAAATTGAGAAATCTGACAAAAATGGAGAAAAAAAGATTGGACGACTAAAAACCAGAAGAAGTTTAAAATTGAAACTGAAACTAGATTAATTGCGTCAAAATTGAAAAAAATCGAAGAAATAAAAACGAAACAAAAAATGGAAACATAAAAATGAAAAAATTTAAAAACTGAAAAATTGAATAAATTAGGAAATACAAAAATAAAAAATGAGAATTCAAACAATTGACAAAACCAACCATTAAAAAACCGAAACAATGAAAAATCGGAATTATTGTGAAATTGAGAAATCGGTAACAGCGATATTGAAAAATCAATAACTGAAAAAATCGAAAAATTGAAAAATCAAAACAATAAAAATCGACAATTTTGAAAACTGAAAATCGAGAATTTGAGAAATCAAAAAATTGAATAAACAAAAAATTGAAAAAAATTAAAACTGAAAAAAATTCGAAAAATTGAGACGTAGAAAAACTAAAAAAACCGAGAAAATAAAAAATGGCCGATAAATTCAAAAATCTAAAATCAAATTACGCAAAAATCGAAAAAGTTGAAAAATTGAGAAATCTGACAAAAAATAGAGAAAATGAACCAACGGACAACTGAAAATCAGAAAAAATTTAAAATTGAAAAATCCAAAAATTAATAACGAAACAAAAAAATCGAAACAAAGGAAAAATTAAAAAAAAAATAAATTAGGAAATACAAAAATAAAAACTGAGAATTCAGAAAATTGACAAAACCAACCATTATAACAACCGAAACATTGAAAAATTGGAAAAAATTTCAAATTAAAAAATCGAAAAATTTAAAAACTGAAAAATCCAAAAATTAAGTAAGTTGGAGAATAAGGAATTAAAAGAAAATGAAAAATCAGAATTATTGTGAAATTAAGAAATAGGTTAACAGCGATATTGAAAAATCAATAATTGAAAAAATCGAAAAATTGAAAAATCAAAAAAATTTTGAAAACTGAAAATCGAGAATTTGAGAAATCAAAAAATTGAATACACAAAAACTTGAAAAAAGTTTAACCTGAAAAAAATTCGAAAAATTGAGACGTAAAAAAACTAAAAAAAATCGAGAAAATGAAAAGTAAAATTACCGAAAAATTCAAAAATCTAAAATCAAATAACGCAAAAATCGAAAAAGTCCAAAAATTAAGAAATCTGACAAAAATAGAAAAAATGAACCATTGGACAACTGAATCAGAAAAAATTTAAAATTGAAAAATCCAAAAACCGAAAAAATCCAAAAGTTAATAACGAAACAAAAAATCGAAACAAAGGACAAATATTGGGAAACAGAAATTTAAGAAAATGAGAATTCGAAAAATTTGGCAAAACCAGCCATTAAAACCGAAATATTGAAAAATTGAAAAAAATTTAAATTCAAAAACTGAGAAAGCCAATACTGAAAAATCGAAAAATTTTAAAACTGAAAAACTGCAAAATCGAGAAATCGAAACACTGAAATGACAGAGGAAATGGAACATCAGTTGATTGAGAAATAGAAAAATAAAAACTGAAAAATTAAAAAATTTAAAACGAAAAATCAATTAATTGGGACGGCGAAAAATCAAAACTTGAATAAATCGAAACACTAAAACATCTGGAAATTCAAAAAACAAAAAATATCAAAAACGAGAATAAAGTTAACACTGAAATATCAAAAAATTTAGAATTGAAAAATCGAAAATTTGGAAAAAATAAGGAAATTTAAAAATCCGTAAAAATTCGACAACTGAAACACCGAAAAATTAAATATCTAGAAATTAAAAAAGCGTAAACTTGAAAAAACGTTGAAACATCGTAACTGAAAAATTAAAATTAAAAATTGAAAAACCGCAAAACTGAAAAACTAACCAATAGAAAAA